AGGGATATGTAGTTAGTTCCTCTCTGCATCTGCAACAAAAAAATTGAATTGCGGGCAGCGAAGCGTTAAATGTGCTCTTGATTGTTGAGATTTTCATGGAGCGTCTATTTTAGAGATGGTTACACGCTCGTCATGTGTAATATACTTATACTCGCTATTAGTAATATAGGCTGTGAGTGATATAATCATACGCGCTATGAATGATGTACGTAATCATAATCGCTGTGAGTGATATGATCATACTCGCTATAAGTGATATGATCGTACTCGCTATAAGTAATATTCTCATACTCGCTATAAAGTGATATATAATTTATCTGTTTCGTTGTCGACACCTCGTGATTACACGTGGATCGTGGTAACTCCAATATTACAGTTGTGGCTGTGAGGTGGAATTCTTATTAAATATCAGTGTTAGTTAATCCAGATCATAATTAAATGTGGATATAAAATGAATGAATCCTATGCGATTAGGTGCTTCAGAAGTGGAAGTGTGGGCGAATACGTACCCTGAAAATTTCTTGTTATAATTGTGTTCTCAGTGTATTCTTATACTAGTGTGTTGATTAATGTTGAGATTGAAAATCTATCTAAGTTCTATTTTAATTTCCCATTTAGTTTTGACCATAGGTACTTCCACTTAAAATGAACTTTAGCTAATTGTGCTGTTAATGCATTAGATTATATCGTTATAGGTAAGAACATCTAGGGTCCCTAACAATGCTTATGAGTTCCAAGGGAGCCGTTGCCGAGCTCCCGAAAAGTGAACAAAGTGATCCCTCTTCATCGTCGCAAACCGGCGCCAGCAGCGGCACAGATTCCGATGAATATATCGAAGAAATAAAAAACGAGGAGTGCGATCCCGTCTCTGTTGATGATCCTGATCAAAATCCTTGTGATAATATGAGCGTTCCTAAAATTCAATCTCTTCCCGAAAAGGAATCTTCGCCAACTAAGGAAGACTCGAGCTGCGCCGAGTCGAAATCAAAACAAACTTCAGAGAACAGTACGTCGCAATCGTCCAAATGTGCCGCTAAACCTGAGTCGGAACAGAGCGCAAAGTCTACGTCGCACATCTCGCGCATGGTTGAAAGTGTGTCGAGTCGCCTGCAGCAGCCACTCTCGAGCATTTTATCAGGACGCTCCAAATCTGCCAGTCGAACTACCGGTCAAGTCGGCAGTCGCGTAGACAGTCCGCCTGCTAGTCTTGCCAACAGTCGACAGTCAAGTCGAAAAACCAGTCGCCAGTTGTCATGCGACAGCGAACCAGTTTCTGGGGTCAAGTTGCTTTTTCATTGGGCAGCCTCCGTCACCGAGAAATTCAAGCCGACCATCCTCTCTAAGGAAGACAGCGATTGGTGTTAGTATCAGGCAGGGAATAAGGTTTATATGCACCTTTATTCGATCTGTGATTTTTATTTGATCTATGTGTCAAATCCACCGGTGGCAACTCAATTCTTCTATGATGTATTAATTGCAAAAGTCTTTCTCCCGATATTTGCACTCATTGATGTCGACTATTTCGTGATTAATTGACTTTTTGCTTCAAGCTCTACCGATTTCGTCTTTTAATTTCATCTTTCACACGAAAAACAGCCTATTTGCTTTTCTGTATTATATTAAGAAATTTTCTTGAAAAATGTCATGTGCAATATTCGAAAGATTTGATTCAATAGATATATTTATCTAATACTATTTTCAGTTCCTTCAATTTCCTATCGCATTGCATGACTTTAAACTAAAAGATTCTGCGATAACCTAATGAGCGCTTTGTCTTCAGCAAGCGTCCTCATTCTAGGTTTTGCTGTTCATTTTCAACTCGAGCCGATGTTGAGTTTCGAGGCGTCGCGGGGCGTCAAAATAAGGCTGTTTTGCCACACTTGCTGCAGGAGACAAATGCGATGTTGGAAAACTACCATTAATGATTGCTGCCGGAGACAAATGTGATATTGGAAGACTAACATCACACTCGCTGCAGAACACAAATGCGATGTTAGAAGACTATCATCGAGCTTTCTGCAAATAACTTTAGTTGAACTATTTTCACTGCATATTAGCAATTGCTCAACACACCATTTTTTTTCGTCCATTTGTGTAACCTCGGTGTCAAAAATTGAGTTTCATCAGAAAGAACAAATCTACCGAACTCTCTCTGTACCATACTGTAAATTTTATTTTATGATGCGAATCAAACAATGGAAAACGGCAAAGAAATTGAGCGATTAAAGCGAATGCAAGCAACATTGTTGAATTTTGTGAAACACTTCCCAATATTCATGAACTGAATTGTCATTTTAAGTGCGTGCCATGCTTTAATATTTGAAAAGTTTCTATTTTCACCCATACACATTGCAATGCTTTGCATATGCACACTCACAATCGAGGCATTTATGTCCTTGGCCTATACTTTAAAAAAAAGTTAAGAGCTCGTAAGTTCATCAGCCAATCATTGACGGCCTTTCAAGCAAAATCCACCAATCATAGACAAGAAAATAGAGCGTAAGTACTTACGTTCACTTAGCGAGTTTTGAAAGTTTGAAAGCCCCTTGTTCGTTACATCGACCCCAAGCTAAGCCGCGCATTGTATCTTCATTCAAAATAGTTTGGCTTCCTGAAATCGATGATCGCTTCGTCGCTGTCTGCGATAACGATGATCTCGCGCTAGTCGTTGGGATATACGCGCTGCGAGCTAATAAAGCAAGCCGATTCTGCTGTCTTACTTGTTCCTAGTTTAAATAACAGTATGCGATTCGTTGTATCGTTTGTTTTGGACGCATTTTTGGTGAACAATCTCAACTCAATGCTTGTAGCGGATGGTTCTCGTTCGATAATTTCCAATTTTCAATTATCCATTGAAAACAATTTAGAATGGAGGTCACTTGCATACGAGGGGCGGCTCAAAAAAGCACCGGTCTGGTTGTGATTGTGTGGTGGGTTAAGTTATAGTAGTACCGCATTATCCCAGCATGTGCATATCCTACAGTCATTCATCAGTTAGTATGCCAAACATTACTGCTCTAGAAGGCCTTGTTCTATTATCACAAATTTTATTTGACACTTATTTTTTTTTGCGCTCGTCGTTTTTTGATGATGTTTGATATTCGTGAGCAACGTGCTGCTGTAAACTTTTGCTTTCTTATGTCAAAAACTGAGGAAAAAAGGCTGCGGACAGCCTACAAGGATGATGCTGTAAAGAGAACGCAAGTTTTTTTAGTGGTTATCTCGCTTCAAAATAACGGAAATGTTAAATGACGGCCAACCTCGCTCAGATCGTCATCTTTCCACTTACCGCACTGAAGAAAATATTGTGAAACTTGGGGACCTAAGCTCTGAACATCGACGTAGAATTATTGACAAACTTGCGGAACTGTCCCAAGTGACTTTGACTTTAGTCCAGCAAGTTTATTTTAAAATATGATTTTGGATGAATAAATTCATAAAAAATAGAACTCGGTACTCACCGCAGTGAGTGATAGAGAGCGCATTTTCTCGTCGACGAAAACATGAGGTCACGGACGGACGGACAGACAGACGGACGGACGGACGGACAGACAGACGGACAGACGGACATGACGATCTCAATAGTGCATTTTTTCATAAATGAGAAAATGCGCCCGGTTTTTTTTTGGACTCCCCTCGTATAGTTACGACAGTGACCCGTGAAAGTCAGTTTACTATTCCTCAGAAAATAATGTGAGCTATGAAACGTGTTTGGTGGTTAAATAGTGAATCATGACTACAAAGCTTTGGTTATTCGTCGCCTTTGACTGCGTGTATTTTTGGCACATTTAGTACTCTTGTACATTTGTTTATATTTTCCATTCATGCTTAAATGGATAATTGTTCGTGATTTGCTCGTATTCTTCATTACTCTTGCTCTTCAAGATAACAAGCGGGTTGTATTCAATACCATTACCTGCTGGTCTTGATACAGAAATCAGTAATTGCTGTCCGTTGCTCTTCAAGATAACAAGCGGGTTGTGTTCAATACCATTACCTGCTGGTCTTGATACAAAAATCAGTAATTGTTGTCCCGTTGCTCTTCAAGATAACAAGCGGGTTGTATTCAATACCATTACCTGCTGATCTTGATACAGAAATCGGTAATTGTTGTCCCGTTGCTCTGCAAGATAACAAGCGGGTTGTATTCAATACCATTACCTGCTGGTCTTGATACAGAAATCGGTAATTGTTGTCCCGTTTGGTAGTTGAGGGCATCGATGGCTTTTAATTGCCTCTCTCGTCACACTTTGCTTGAGAACATTTAGTTTATCTGAGGCGAGCATTATATAACATCCGAGGCTCTTGCCAAAGGTCGTGTCTGGCACACTAGCACTGCTCCTTTGTGGAAATTGTGCCATTAATTTAGTTTAGCATTTTTATTGTGCCTAATTATATTTTATTAGACGTTTAGTGTGCATTCAAACTGTTCAGTCAGTCACAATATGATTATTTTTTTAGTAGAGCTGTCTTTTTGTCACCTTATAAAGTTTTTGTCTAACGAGGATCGTGTCACACTCGGGAATGATGTCACACATTCACACTTGTGGTCTGCCGTTTTATTTCGCGTTACTCACTTGAATGTTATATGCGCACATTTTTTCTGGGGATACTCAACTGCATGAATTCTTCGTTGCTGACTCATATGGGCGTCACTCACGCCAATGCTTTTTAGCTGGCGTTTCATGCCGCGTCACTCAACTGAAGGCTTTTTAGCTGGCGTTTCATGCCGCGTCACTCAACTAAATGGTTTTTAGCTAGCGTTTCATGACGCGTCACTCAACTGAAGGCTTTTTAGCTAGCGTTTCATGACGCGTCACTCAACTGAAGGCTTTTTAGCTAGCGTTTCATGACGCGTCACTCAACTGAAGGCCTTTGAGATGACGTTTTATCTGGTAATAATTAGCTCATAGTTCGTCCTGAAAAAATTTGTGATTCGTTAATTTTGCGGTACCTATTAGGTATAAATTTTAATTAATTTTCATTTCTTCTCTTTGCAGTCAGAGAATTCCTGGAGAGCAAGAAGGAAGACTTCGAGGAGAGATGGAAGAAGCCTGAGAAGGTGAGATCCAAGTCAACTTCTATTAATTCTATTCCATATTATTCTATATTATTTCTATTAATTCATAAATTTTTGATATGACCGTCCTTAATCATGAGTATCGTGGCCTTTACTGCAGTGGACACTCACTCGTCATTATAGCCATACACGTAATAAAATAATTTCTGACAGATCGCTACAATTACTGGTAACTTGCTTAGACATGATTTGAACTCCAGGGACCATACCATGAACAGTGGTTGAGCGGTAGTAACGTTGCCAGCCAATCACTGACGACTTTCCGAGCTGAACCCGCCAATCTTAAAAGGAAATCGTCCTCTACGTGTACTTAGGCTGCTACGTGTACTTAGGCTCCTACGTGTACTTAGGCCTCTAATATCCAACAATATTCTGACCGTAACTTGCAGCTGTAACTTCCATCATACTGTACAGTAAAGAGAATAATCTACCGAAATATTACTGCGCCAGCTTGTTTTCATGCACTACCACAAGTGATCCGGACGATTGCGAAACCGAACTCTAAGATGTTGATAAGCACGCACCCTAACATGTACAACGAATAACGTGCTGATCCCAATTTCCAATAACTCAGTTATCCGTTGGATAATGGGGTATGTAGCGCACGTATTACTGAGTTTAGTAGAGGAACATGAATGTTAGAATTTAGACGAGCAACTGCGATATGCACTGAATGTGGAGATTATTCTTCACTCTTCAAAGCGCTTCTTACATTTCATAATTGTGCATATTAAACATACAGAGATCCAGGGGCCGAACTATCACAAATTGTCACTAGTTCGTAACTCCGTCAGCCAATGACTGACGGCTATCAGGCTAAACCCACCAATTGCAGGCGAGAAATTAGCCGTTACGTTTACTTAGGCCGCTACGTGTACCTAGGCCGCTACGTGTACTTTGGCCGCTACGTGTACTTAGGCTGCTACGTGTACTTAGGCCGCTACGTTTACTTAGGCCGCTACGTGTACTTAGGCTGCTGCGTGTACTTAGGCTGCTACGTGTACTTAGGCTGCTACGTGTACTTAGGCTGCTACGTGTACTTAGGCCTCTACGTGTACTTAGGCTGCTACGTACGTGTACTTAGGCCTCTACGTGTACTTAGGCTGCTACGTGTACTTAGGCTGCTACGTGTACTTAGGCTGCTACGTGTACTTAGGCCGCTACGTTTACTTAGGCCGCTATGTGTACTTAGGCCGCTACGTGTATTTAGGATGCTACGTGTACTTAGGCCGCTACGTGTACTGAGGCCGCTACGTGTACTTAGGTCACTACGTGTGCTTAGACCGCTACGTGTACTTAGGCCGCTACGTGCACTTACGATGCTACGTGCAATATTGCAAGCTTTTAAAATACAGTCCCAGGTCGTGGTAAGAACTTGTGGATGTTCTAGATGACTCAAACATCACGAAGCGATTCCTGCCAGACTTGCGACAGTGATATATTCTTATGATATACGGAGCTATACTATATACTGCTTCATCACAATGATATTTCAAGCTGAACAGTGAATAATACGAAGTCATGTCAATGTTCGCACACAGCTAAACTGTAGACACTGAAACATTGCATCAATATACATTGATGCGCAGTACACAGTAATATATTGCAGTGGTAATTGTAACTGCACTGTAAACCGTTCAATATTACAATAATTTTGATGCGTGAACTTTAAGCATTACAATACTTTTGTATCTGAACTGCAGAATGTAGATAGAGCCACGGTGCAGGAAAATTTCTGGAACCGTAAATTGTACGACGTAGTTGATGCCCTTCGCGGGCTGAAAGAATTCTGGGAATATATCAGTTTGGCTTCAATTCACGCTCGTTTTCTTCTACGCTCAATAATTCTTTAAGGGTGTACTAACGTTCCAATTTCTTGTAAGGGAAATTATACCTGAAATTAGTTCTGATCCCGTACATTCCATTACAAACATTCCGTTCCCGTACATTCCGTACATTATTTATTGGGGCCTTTATGTAGGTGTGTATAAGTAAGGTTGTGAAAGTCTCATTCGTATACTGAAATAAGTATTGAAATCTGAGTTATAGGATGTGAAGAGATTGTTACTCAGACATATTGTGTGCACTTGTATGTCCTAATATTAAATTAATCCGTTAATAGTAAATCAAGCCTCGTAAACTGCTACTATATATTGTATGAAGATTTTGGCTCTCAATAGAGTATCCAGATTTATTTATTTAATTAAATTTTTCCTGGCAGAAGAGATAAATTAGAAAATTGTACGTCCAAACAATAAATTAATCTGTTGATTGTAAATCAAGCAATAATAGGTCCTGGTAGTAAATAAGTGATTCAAGACAAGATCCATGCAAGAGACCGGATCTTATAATTACCAATATTATCCAGCGAATTTACCTTATAGAATCTTGTTTTACGTAGTGGGTCAGGCATTACTATAAAACTTTCTATCCTTTCACTTTTCTTTAGTTAGGTTATTCTGAGAGTAAATAATATATCTAATTTATAATGCTAACATGAAATAATATACTCAATTTTCAGAAAAAAATGATGTTGAGGCGTTTAACTTGGAGAGAATTGGCTGTAACATTTATGAGAAAATCTCATAAAGAGTTAGCTGTGGACTCTATTAATCTGTTGCGAACTCTTGATCATAGAGCACGCGGCAACACATTATAGTGTCGGGGTAACATATCTACTCCGGCATATAACATATATTTCATTTGATTTGCTAGCGATGAAATTCGCTAACTATTTAAGAGTTTACCGAGCCCCGAAGAATTGCAGGTAAATGCAAGCGTAATTCAGCACCCAGTTCTGCTTCGTCAGAAATTCTTTTGAAATTGAAGTAATTGTAGGCTACCAACATTGTCGCTACGAGTCAGCTCAACCTCTATGTACAGATGGTGTATATAACATCAAGAAATAACAACGAATGAGGCATATGAAGCTCCTCAATACATTGATTTTCATATGTACAAGTTTTCTCCTCTCTGATGCAGGCACTGAAGGGTCATAGTGTGTATTTTTAAAAATGTCCTATGTCTGATAGTCGAGTGATGTGAATAATTTAGTTATACCTCGAACCGAAATCAACTCGTTAATGCTCAGTAGTGGCCTTTGAGTAACCATTGCTCATGCAAGAAATGCTACGGTGGCCAGTTGTTCTGCTAATATATTTATGAACCCTCAGTTACCGTTAGGTAATAGGGTAATATGATGCACGTATTTGAAGCTGTTGATATTCATGAAGTATTGAGAGCACTTATAATCTGCACTGAGTGTGAAGATTTAACTTGATTGTTAAGAGCGTCTCATGCGTTAATGATTTTTGTGCATATAAAGCGTACAGAGATTATTTGCTAAAATGTACTTCTGGCCACATTTAAATTTTGATAATCGGAATCATCGCAATGCATCTGGCAACTTTTAAAGGCTGCAAGTAATGCTTACACAATTAGCACTATGCTTATTATTCAAAAAGTAATTTTTCAATATCACTACAGCACGTGGACAAATCGACAATCTCCATTGAAAATATGCAATTTCTCGCTCTTATAGTAGTGTAAAAATCCTTAGAGCAGGAAGTAGTGAATCTTAGTCTTTGCTATGTCACTAATGCCCGCAATGTCGGACGATCTGAAAGGTTCAATTGAATTAAATCATTTACTATGACACCGCACAACGTGTCTACCTGGACGTGGAGTACAGCTTTCTCAACCAGCAAGAATTGAATGTGGGCTTTGAGTTATCATTACCAGGTAGCATAAAATACTTTATGTATTCACTTAAGTTATGAATTTCACATGTTTTCCTTCTAGTTATATTCATCGAACAAAAAATATGTCGCTTGTTCCTGTCAAACTGCTTTTAGCTCATAACCTTAGTTGAAAATTAAGGAAATTGTCGTCAAGGAATGCCATGCATAACAAATCTAACAAACGGATAAAGAAACTTTGAAACCAGAAGTAATACTGTTAGGGAATAGTATACATTTATTCATATTTTTAGCAATAATTTTTCCATTTTCATTCAGACTTTCAGTTCCGCAATTTAGGTTTTGTATACTTTCAGGATTTTATTCATTCATGTTTTAGACTTTAGCTGGAGTGGACTGTACGGCACAACGCAATTGTAAATACGTGTTTTACCAAATATATTGTGAATAATCCGTGTCTTATATGTACTGAAAACCTTTCCTGACCGTTTGAGAAATGATTAAGAAGTAGTCCCCCAGCAATACAAAAAAATTTCTTGACAGTATACAGAGAAAAGTGTACTTTAAGAAACACAATCAATATTGTCCTCATTATTAGTTTTTTATAAAACAATTAAACCTTTTTATTACTGAATAAATACCAACTCACTGATTCTGTGTATGGGAAACTGCAGGCTTCATGTACATTATAGGTGATTATCACGCACTGAAGGGTGCGCGTCTGAAATAAATCCACCGTATAGCAGATTAATAAACAAATTCTGAAAAATTTTAGTTACCTTGCCCAAGAATCTTCCTGTTAGTATCTCAGATTATGGGCTATTGCACTCCTGAATAACGAGTCTACAACGACTACGCCTAATCTGGTCTTATCCTGCCATACTTGGATGTAAAATATTTATCCATATTTTTATTCTAACTCTTCACGAGGCTATGCAATAACATTGTGTGGTGAGGCGTTGAACTCGGAGAGACTGCGCACCTAGGGTGCAGCATGCAATCAAAACTCACGATGAGTTGTTCGTAGACTATATTCATTAGTTGCTAAGTCTTGATCACAGAGCATGTGGCTTGCATCAGAGAATAGGGGTAACATATCTAAACTTGCGCATCAAATATATGTCACATGATTTCATAACACTGAAACGCGTAGACTCCTATTCATTATTTCATTTAATTATATAAAAGTTTAAGAAACCCCTAAGAACTGCTGTCAAAAGTAAGGTTAATCCAAGACACAGTTGCCGGTTCTTCAAAAAATCGCATGAGATCGAAGTAATTGAA